TTAATCAGTGTTTTTTTAGTTTTCGCGAGTTCGCGCCAAAGTTGATTTTATCCAGGTTCTTCTGCTGTCTATAAATCTGGCTGCATCACAGTCAATAACTTCAGTACAACCTGTCGTATGCGTGTGAAAGTGAAGGGGGCATAGTACTGAATCCTGTGGTACAGCACATTTATTTGCACCCGCGCTGAAGCCGTGGCGTCAATGACCTCCCTTTACAGTCTCAATGACAGGAGTTTTTATCTACATAAAATGGTTGAATTGGATTCCGCGAAATCAAATCTTTTACAAGAGCCACAGATGAGGCACTGGAATTATTATGGATCTGGGTGTATCATACTCCAAAAGTCTTAAACTTTCGGAGCACTGCGCCCTGATAGTCTTCAAAGCACGTAGACTGACCGGGTTTATCCTCCGAAACTTTAAAACCAGCGATATTAGAATGCGTCTTTTTAACATGTACGTTAGACCCGGCCTAGAATACTGTTCGCTTATATTTAGCTGCATGCGTGCTGCTGAGCGAAAGAGAATAGAATCCGTCCAAATTTTTTTACCAAGAGAGTTTTATCCCTGGAACACCGGAATCTGTCGTGCCAAGAACATTGTCGTCTTACAGACCTCGATCCTTTGTGGTATCGTAGTTTAAAAAATGGACTATTTTCATCATTTAAGCTTCTATATGACCGTATCTTTAATCCGCTCACTACTTTAAAACATCTTGCCCACTCCCGACGTAACAGTCACCGTGAGGTCTTTTTATTTCTTCCACTCGCACGCACCGTTAGATATCTTCTGTTCTTTTCTGTGAACACAATTGCCATTTGGAATAAATTACCCAGGAGTGTGAAAATTCTGCAAAATTATCCTTTGTTTAGGAGAACTTTTGCTCGATTTGCATTCAGAAAAACTCCCACAAATTTTGGGTGCTGAATCTGCCGATCGAATATGCCGTAGCAATGACGTTCATGGTCTCTGATGCCCATAGCCGGTCTCACCAGGTACAATTTCTTTAGCCAACAGTGACAGTTGTCCTTCAGTGCTTCTGCTTGGTCCAGTCCCAACTTCATGATAAGAAATGGCGACTGATAATATCCGATGCAGTGCTACCCCTCCCTTTATTGGCTGTCGTCATGTCATGATCTGCAGTTTTTTTATTCTCCGAAGCACTCCAAGCTCTGAAAAACCACCATCATCTTTATTTTTTATCATGAGTTTTTTTTATTGCTGACTGGATTTATATTTAATCTTTCCATGAAAATGCCTGTAAACTGGCATTAAATACTACTATTATTATTATAGTTCATTTAAAATATTTCAAGGCCCTCTTCCCTAGTCCACTCCCCTTTTGACTTCTGGAGATCCCACTTGAATTTATTCAAAAGTCGCCGAGCCTGTCTGCTGAATTGTAATGCATGTGGTGGCGACTCCAAGTGATTAATATCTGACTGCTTACAGGACGGGGCGAAGGCGGCGTTAATCAAAATTTTTATTATTATCATTATTACTAATTGTCAATAGGTCATGGTTTTCGTTCACTTTTTCTGTGTGTAATGATTGCTTGCAGGATTGCGTGCGCCGCTGAATGCCGTGCTGGGTGATACATAATAGGTTCCTCTGCACCAGATACCTCGTCAAGTACCTCTCGATAGGTCGTTTCAGATTTTTACAGGAAAGGTAGGTTAAAATAACAGATCGCTAATTTTCCGACTCCTTTGCAGACCTTCCTTTGCAGATTGAAGAATAACGGCATTTATGCATCCCTCCGGATGTTTCCTTTTTTCCATGGATATTTGGGATATCTTGGATTCCGATTTGCACAGAACGTCTATAAGTTCTCCAAGGGCATATGCAAACACTTACTCTGGACCTTACCATCTGAGAGACATCAGTTAGAATAATATTGACCCTATCGATGTTGAAGAGAAGTTAAGACGATCTTCGAACGCGAATGATTCAGAATCATATTGTATTTCTTACTGAACTCAAGGATTGTGTTCGTTTGCAGTTATTGGAAAATGTAAGCACGTAGGACTTCATTGGGGCATTTAACAACACAGTTGCCGTAAACTGTTGCTCTTAATGACCAGTCGGTATGGGAGGGTATGAACAATACAATAGTTTTTATAGACGGCTGTGTATGACGGGGTTGTAAGAACCGATCTTTGGCGGTCAAGGATGTAAGGTCAACTTAACCCACGCACAATAAATTCGCTTCGTCTGATGTCAGCACTCAGGGAGCTGTGAGGAATAGTTTATTCGGTACACAGGGCAGTTAGCCGTAAATTGGCTGTTTGCTTGCAACAGAGAGATGCGTCCGTTCACGGAGAGCGTCGGTCGCTGTGTGACGTTTACGCGGGGGTGAAAATCTGTGTCAGTAGGTGGGGGTGACTGGTTGAGTGCTCGTCATGAGATTGGACGGATTAGGGGGAAGCTTAATTACAGGGGCTCACGGGTATCAAGCCAGGTCGTCCGACGCGGATGAGGTGATAATTGTTTGTGGGGGATGCCGGGGGTCACTGCAGCTGGACAGGAGGGGCCCTAGTTCTGGCCATTGGGGGTGGTCGTGTGTCCGCAACCTGGCAACGGTTGTTGCGGCCATCGACCCACAAAACGAAGCCGGAGAAAAGGGAAACTGGAGCAGCTGCTTCGGATCTTTAGTGGAAGCCTGAAATCGGACATTTGACATCAACAGGTACCGCAAGCTACGATATCGCTTGTTTTTCGAGGTCCATAGTCGGACTACCAGTTAATTGTAACAACGTTTCCTGTAATTTATTCGCTTATATGCGTCTATGTCTTTGGAGAGATGACACCACAGGTAATTTGTGTCTGTAAACTCGAAGATCCGACGAATTGACATTCGATATCTCACAGACCCTAGATAAAAAATGCAGTAAGTAAAACAGGTTTGGGAATGAAATTAATATCCAAAACGTCACCGAGGCGAGGGTTGTCCTGTGCAGTTATGCCCGTCACGTTAAAACAGGGAATGCAGTTAAAGAGACGTGTCGGCAACGCAAAGGCAAAATAATCTGGTATCTTGGCACAGCCATATGGTTTCTGCGAATGACCGGCTGTATGACGGTGCGCAAATGACCCCACACGACCCTTGACTTTTTAACGAGTATGATTTACTTCCGATCCTTTCTTAACTTCCAGGCGTAGCTGGTAAGGTAAGTCATCGTGTACCGCAAAATTAGTTCGATTTCCGTTACCGATGACGCTCAGCGTGTTTTTAGCTACAGGGTGAGGGCACGGACGGTGACTTGCGCATTACTTAATTTGTGACAATGGTGGACTTGCGCCGCATTCACCGCACACTCTCAACCAGAACCTACACCAGGCCCACAAAGTTGAACAGAACAAATGAGGCAGAGTGAGCGGCTGGCCCACAGGACGAAGACCCACACCTGATCCGTAACCTACACCGACTAGAATTTTACACAAAATGAAAAAGGGGAAGGTGGCTTAGATACCAAATGACGCGACTCAGACCTGCACCTGAGCGTATTTCCACACCCTCACTGCTGGCGTTTTTGTTGGCCCACCTATCCTATAAGGCCTGCCGGGCCTCGATGTAGGGCCGACGTTGATTTAGCTTATTTTCCGCGCAGTCCGTTTGGGAACGTAAGGTGTATAAATTATGGTGAACGAGAAGAACATGGTGGTGAAACTAGAAGGAATAATATAAAGGAATCTACAATGTAACGATGAGGGAGATTTAGCGTCTTTGTCATTCATAAACCTCGGGAAGGTCAGCTTAGTGCTGTATTCAAACACGAGGGATCCGAGACTTGTCTCGTCTGCCGGTTTTCCAACCCGAAATATTGGTATCGGGCCGCACTGATTCTTTCGATCGGACATAGCCTTCGACTTGCGTAAGTGCAGGAAAACAAAAATTTGGTTCATTATGATTTCTATCATGCCAAGGCCTGGACACCAGCACGACCTGTTCCCCCTAGGCCATAAACTGCCTCAGGAGTAGCGGATCTTCGCCTACCCCGCGACGTTCTTCTTGGTTCTCAGTTCGTTTTTTGATTGTCTGGGGTCTGTCAGCTGATTAGTTGGAGTCAGTCCGTAGCAACCGAACGAAGGACGGATGTCGGGTCACGGGTTATGAAGTAAAAGGGTAGAGGTAGTTTAAACTCAGATGGTCAAGCCGATGGCAAGATTCGCTCATGAAGGTCTTGCATCTCAAAGTTGGCGGGATCAGGATGAACACGCACACTGGACGTGGGATAGGTAGCACAGATTGTAAAAAGTTACAAGTTTATCTGAGTATTCAAAATGGAAAACTACTAAGACTACGGAAAAACGAAAAACATAATGGAATGACCTATCGGGAGGAGTCGGAGGTTACTTGTCTGCACTTGGCTTTGGGAACGTTGATCCTGCAAGGGAAACACTCGAGGTCGTGTAAATGGTCAGATCTCCCGTTGTTACATCGCCACACATAAAATGGAGCACCGTCCTCAGTGTTGAGATCGACGATGGGTGAGGGAACGGTGATTTCAGTGGCGGCCGGTACGACCTGGCCGGTAGGGGGGATGGGTAGATAGTCGGGCGACTTCGGTAGTGCTTGAGCTTATCGAAGTGCGCAGTGAAGGAGCGAGCGCGAGAGTGAGTTTAGAAACGATAAAAGCGTTAACGGCAACGTCCGGAGTTACGCCAGCCGGGGTGGTTGCGGCGGGAAGCCGAGAAAATGCGTCCGCGATGCAAACACAGACGGCCTGTGGAGCTGACTCCTAGGTCATTGAGGTCAGTAATGCCACCTGTCACGGTGCTGAGCACGTTGAACCGACGTACACACAGACGACCTGCTGTGCTAATTCCTAAGCCAAAGAAGATAGTCTTCGGTCTTCTGGATTTCTTCCAACTACGTTCTCTTTTGTTTTACTGCGCTGTCGGTAAGCATGCCTTATTGTGTATCGGTTGTCTCTCTCGGTGTTGTGGTACGTGCGCTCCGCGACTGTGACAATTGTATAAGGCTAAGTTCGTCGAATATGGCAAGTAAACCAGCTGTGAAGACACAACAACAAATAAGACTGGTACTTTTTGAATGTGATATCCTATGTGTTTGAACCAGATTTGTTGCTTACTTTCATTTCATTTTGGATTACACCGCGTACTGGCCACATAGAAATGTAGTGACTGTACGTGACATTTTATGCTCGAAACCGCGGGATCTACACTTGCGGATGGCTGCAAAGAAAGGTGCGGTCCCAAATATTATTAACGCCTCAGCTTGTTGGTTGTAACTCCTTTGCTATTCATCTACGCGAGGTACTAGTCACCATGCGCGTGGATTTAACGCGCTTCTGATAACGCTTCTACGATATCGGCTCAGCGCTTCCTCCCTATTGATGGTAGTATACGCAAACGGACTGAAAGTGCACAGACTACACAACTCTTGTCCAGGTCAGTAGTCGAGACTAAAGTTGAAGTACCAAAACACTAATTCCCGAAGGAGTTCAGCCAATTTTGCACCAGATAGGTCGACGACGCGTACGTTATAATCGAACGAGAGATTGTCGCATGCGCCCGACGTTTAAATGGACGTTTAAAGGGATAATATGGGACGGATGCCGGGGAATATCGGTCTAGGAAATGGGGGATCAGGATTATAACGCGAGTAATAAGCATTTTAGGGATCCGCAGTACCATGAGACAGTCTGATATGGCCAGGGGTGGGGGCAAAAAACGACAATTATAAGGGGTGCCCCTGCGCATTTTATTTCGATGAGGGAGCCACATCGGGGATTTGCCCCGCCAAACCCCCCTCTCCAGCCCCCTCTGGCCCCACCATAGCCCCCTCATGCGGCGGGGCTGTGAGCGGGCTGGTGCTGGCAGGGTTTAGTCCACCTTCTACATGCCTCAGTTTACTATCAGACGAAAACAACTATCATTCACAGCTAACTTGTGAAAACTATAAACGGCAATATTGCACTTATTAAATTAACGACTGGTAATTCAGATATTCCACACTGCCGGAACAAACGCCCCTTTTCAGCCGAACGTGCCAAAAGCATTTCAAAACGTCAGCGGGGTAGGCCGGAGGAACGAGGAAGTCGTCCACCTTCGCGAACGTGGATAACACAAAGCCAGCTGATGTGTGACGGGCGACAATGCGACCGAATTTTCGTCCCAATGGAAGCTTTTTCGCACGCTCTATTTGAAATTTCCGAGGACGAATGACACAGAGAAGAAAAACCGAAAATCCAGTGTGCTGTGCTGAAGCAGTGGTTGGGGTTGTTCGCTTTTGATTGCGAAATCTGCAGACAATCGACGTTGACCACAAAGCACCCTACCAGCAAAAGCTGCTACCGAACCGCGATTCAAATGAAATTTGGAGGAATGGAGCGCCAGGCTCCGCGCCGGCCAGTAGGCGGTTATGAAGTCCGGCGTAGTCCGGTCGAACAGCTTTCGTAAACAGCTATAATACTTGTACTCGTACTTGATACGGCTGCGATCATGCCTGATCTAGCCAGCCCCGATGATGTCACGAACTGTGCCTCTCCACGCGTTACGACCCGCGGCAGCAGATCCAGACAGCTCAACCGATTCCCTCCGCCAACGACGTAGACCGAATACCGAAGGTCCAAGAACCACGCCCATGTCTTGCGAACTGTGTCGAGCCAGGTTTTGAACTGACCTTCTCTTCAACGCCTCTAATGGGGCAACGGTGCCGGATCGAGGGCAATAACACTGAGCTCCTGAGGTGGACGACGAAGAACATGCCCGAACCACCTCAGTCGTCTTTCTTCAATGGCCTGGGTTATCCTTGCGATGTTGTCGCAGCGAGCGCGGACTGTCTCATTTGAGACGAAGTCGGTGAACTTCACTCGAGGGATGGTCCTCCAGCAGTGGTGGCCAAATACCTCCAGCTTTCGCTCGTCCTCCACGCGCAAAGCCCAGCATTCGCAACTGTAGATAAGGACAGACCGGACAGATGCACGGTACACGCGAATCTTAGTGGGGATGGAGAGGTCACGTCGGATCCATAGGCATTTCCGAAGGCTTGAGAAAACCTAGCGGGCAGCATCGATTCGTGAGACGATATCGTCCTTACTCTGGCCACTAGGCAGCAGCCTCGCCCCGAGGTACTTCAAAGTGTCTACTACTTCAAGTTGACAGCCATCAATCCTGAGGGGCGCCTTCTCCTGTTCAGGGATGCAGCTTGAAAACACCTTTGTCTTCCTAGCGTTTATGGATAAACCGACCAATTTAGCGACCTCGTTCACCCGTGACACCATAGGCTGCAGATCACTAAAACTTGAAGTAAGTAAGGCGATATCATCGGCATAGTCGAGATCAGACAGTCGATGTCCGGGTGCAAGCCCAACGTCGTCACTCTCGCGTAGGACCCTCCCGAGGATCAAGTCAATAGCATAGTTGGACAGAATGGGCGACAAAATACAACCCCGTCGAACGCCGGACCGAATAGCGAGCGGTTGGGAAAGATTGTTGCGGCCCAGGACTCTCGTAGGAGTGGTGCGGTAATGGACCTTGATCACGGCGATGGTTTTTGCCGGTACACCATCCAGCGCCATCATCCGCCACAGGGACTCACGGTGAACGGAATCGAACGCGGCGGCAAAGTTAATGAAGCAGACGGCCGTCGATTGTTGGTAGCTATGGCGAAATTCGAGAATGCGCCTCAGTGTGAATATCTGGTCCGCTCATCCACGTCTAACGCGAAATCCGGCTGGGTTGGGCCTCGTCCTTGAGTCACACACAGCCTTGAATCGCTTGAGTAGGAAAATTGCAAAGGTCTTCGCAACAACGTCGAAGAGACTTGTGCCGCGGTAGTTCTCGCATCTCGTCTTAACTACCTTCTTGAGGATAGGTATAAGGATGCCTAAGCCCCAGTCATCAGGTGCAACCTCGTCTCTCCACGTTCGTTCAATCACCTCATGGAGCCAGGACGTCAGAATGTCGACACAGGACTTGCGGACTTCAGCGGGTATACCGTCCTCTCTGGGGGCCCTATGGTTGCGCAAATTTCGTATGTCATCGACGATTTCTCTTTCAGAGGGGGGAGGGGGGTTGCGTGGCACTGCGTAGGTAAGGTAGGTTGGGTATCGAAGATATAATATGACTTCTTGACGTGGATATCTAATCCGACTTCCAAAAGCTATAGGAAACCGATTGCTTACAGGTCGTTCGACACACGAGCATCCCCAATGTTCCAATCAAAACAGCCACAGACACGCGAATGAGGTAGAAAGAAAAAATTGGTTAGGAGGGTCATATTTGTGATTACTCTAGAATAGGGCTTTATTCATCTCACAATCGGCTTATCGGGACTAAAATGCGGAACATAGCAGTAGTCAATGAGGTAGACTTTGGTAGTGATAATAAATTAACAGGACATCTTCCCAGCCCAACAAACAGAGGGACCAAGATGTCAACAGTTCAATTGTGGTTTCCACGTAACATATTTTCACCGTCTTTGTTGCGTTGACAGTATGACTGAACATGTTGTTATTGTCGTCCGAATAATGCATCTGGCTTGTATATGTGGACGTCGCCATCGGTACGGGTTATAACGGGTGTTTCAGCATTTTGTTTGTCAGCTAGGCTGGCCTCGCTCTCCTGTGCAGTGTTTCGTAAATGGTCAGGTGAAAACGGAATGTAACGTTTGAGTAACGGCGTCATGCGACCCCCCTTCTGAGGAAGAATTCGCTGATGCCATGCGAAAGCTATGCAACAAAAAGGTACCCAGAGAGGACGGTATACCCGCTGAAGTCCGCAAGTCCTGTGTCGACACACTAGCGTCCTGGCTCCTTCAGGTGATTGAACAAGCGTGGATAAACGAGTTTGCACCTGATGACTGGGGCTTAGGCATCCTTATACTTATCCTCAAGAAGATAGTTAAGACGAGATGCGAGAACTACCGCGGCATAAGCCTCATCGGCGTCGCTGCAAAGCTCCTCTCTATTGTCCTGCTCAGGCGATTCCAGGCTGTGCGTGACTCTAAGATGAGGCCGAACCAAGCCGGATTTCGTGCTAGACGTGGATACACGGACCAGATATTCACACTAAGGCGCATGACCAAATTTCACCATAGCTTCCAGCAGCCCACAGCCGTCTGCTTCATTGACTTTGCCGCCGCGTTAGATTGCGTTCATCGTGAGTCCCTGTGCCGAATAATGGCACTAAATGGTGTACCGGCAAAAATCATCGCCATGATCTAGTCCTATTACCTCGCCATCAATGCGCGAGTTCTGATCATTAACGATCTTTCCCAGCCGTTCGGCATTTAGTCTGGCGTTCAAAAGGGTTGTGTCCTTGCCTTGTTTAATTTCCAAGGAAATTAATGCGCGAACTTGGAGTAAATCTTTCGAAACGGGCCTTTTCAGGCACGCTCCAAATTTTGATATGAATATTTTAGCTGAAATCCATCAGCTACTGCGGAATAACCGCTTAATATTCACAAACCGCCAACAGGCAGCCAGTAGTATAGATTTGTGCAATGATTTACCGTTGTGTCCGGTCGCTCATTCTGTTCAATTACGCTGTTGACTGGATTCTCAGAGGGCCATACACGAAGGTGTCGGTGTTGAGTTGCCACCCGGACACCGACTGACTACTCTAGACTATGCCGATGGTGTTCGACAGGGTTGTATCCTATCACCCATTCTGTCCAACTGGGCTATTAAGTGAATTCTTAGGAGGACCCTACACGAGGGTGACGGTGTTGAATTTGCATCTGGACACCAACTGACTGATCTCGACTATGCCGACTGAGCCTTACTTGCTTCAAGTTTTGGTGATCTGCAGTCTGGTGTCATGGGTGGACGAGGTCGTTAAATCGGTCAGTTTATCCATAAACGCTGGGAAGATAAAAGTGCTTTCAAGTTGCATACTTGAATAGGACAAGGCACCTCTCGGAATTGATGACTGCCGTATGAAGAAGTAGACAGTTTTAGATACCTCGGGGCAAGGTTGCTGTTGAATGGCAGAGTAAGGATGACATTGTCTCGCGAATTGATGCTGCCCGCCGGGTTTTCTCAGGCCTTATAAAATGCCCATGGACCTGACGCGACATCTCTTTGACAATCGTCGTCATTGCCACAAGCGTGCGAACGGGATAGTACGAACAGATTGGGTATACGTGTCAGAATGGAGGGGTACCTAAAATATGGCTTCATTCATTTTACAGTTGGAATATGGCACTAAAGCAACAAGTAAGGTATCAGTCAGTGAGATGGAATTGGGTGATGATTGTAAATTAGCATGACACTCACTAAACCCCGACGGCGTGGAGTGCCTGGTCGACCTCTACAAGTGCAAAGGCAACTGGCAACTCTGTGACAATCACAGAGGCATCTCACTATTCAAGACCTTCGGGAAGATCTTCGTCCGGATCCTCCTCAATCGCCTCAACGGACACCAAGCAAGGACTTCTGCCGGAAAACCAATGTGACTTCCGATTACACCGGGGTACCACTGAGTGTTTGCCGCTCGCCAGCCACAGGAGAAGTGCCAGGAGATGCGGAATCACCCCTATACCACCTTCGTGGACTTGAAGAAATCCTTTGATATGATGAATCGCAAGGGACTGTGGAAAGTCGTGCAGAAATTCGGTTGCCCTAAACGATTCTTGCACATGGTGGTCAACTCCACGACGAGATGGTGGCGCGCATCATGGACAACGGCGAAATCTCTGAGGAATTTGCAGTGACTAATGGAGTAGAGCGGGGCTGCGTCCTCGCCCCTACCCTCATCAGTCTCATGTTCTCTGTCATGCTGATGGACGCGTAACGTGATGAACCCCTCGGCATACCCATCGCCAACATAACTGACGGGCATATTCTCAACAGCGGACGCATGCAGGCCCGAACGCGGCTATCCACGACCACGGTCCACGATCTGCACTTCGCCGACGATTGCGCACTCAAGAGGACGACCTTAGTGGACATGCAACGAAGCGCGGACCTCCTCGCCGACGGATGCACCAAATTCGGTCTGACTATCAACACGGACAAAAGGGTGCCCATGCACCAACCGTCACCCAACACGCAATACTGCATTCCTCCTCGAATCACTGTTAAGGGCCACCAACTCAATACCGTGGACAATTTTGCTTATCTCAGAAGCACACTTTCCAACAGCACGAGAACCGATGATGAGGCAACCACCGGATCTCCAGTGCCATTCAAACCTTTGGCCGGCTGCAGAACTCCGTGTGGAATCGTCACGACCTCCAACAGCATACCAAACTGAAGATGTACAAGGCCGTCGTCCTGGCGACACTTCTCTACAGAGCGATTACTTGGACCATCTACTCCAACCATGCCAAAATACTCAACCACTTCCACCTCAGCTGCATCCGCAGAATACTAAGGCTGGGATTGCAAGACAGGTACTCCGAAACGGGAGTCATAGAACGGACCGGCGTCCTTAGCATACACACCATGTTCAGACAACTGCAGCTACGTTGGAGTGGCCATCTCGTAAGTATGGAAGATAGACGTCTACCGAAACAACTCTTCTATAGTGATGTCGCTACCGGTGCTCGGTGACCGGGAGAACCAAAAGGAGGCTACAAGGACACATTGAAAAAAAATCTTCTTAAGCAGAATTCTCTGCAGAGCAACCCGGGGACCTGGGAGGACGCTGCCCAGAACGCCGGCATGGCAAAGAGAAGTGAAGACCGGCGCTGCCATCTATGAAGCAAATCAGATTGCCGCCGCCAAAGCTAAACGGGAGGCTCGCAAATCACAACTGCCTGCCCTCCTCAGTGCCAACCATCCGACTTCTCCAACATGCCCGCGCTGCCAACGCGCATTCCGCACACGAATCGGTCTCGTTGGATACCTTAGGACCCAATGCGCCATCAAACTGACAACGTCTACCTTTTCTCCCACTCGTTTCTGCCACAAAACCCACGCCGACCGCCTTTCTCGTCACCGACGATCTCACCGTCGCTGCCTTACCACCACCACCTGCACTGCCTCAACTCCTGCGTCGACCGCAGCGGCCAGCATCACCACCACTTCTTCACACACACCCCTCACCGATGGGACGACGTCCGACCTCTCATCAACTTCAAGCATCACCAACATCCCCACCTCCAGCGATGCGGACTCCGTTCATTCCTGTTCTCATTACGATCGTACATTCACCCCACACATCAACCTAGTTGGTCACATGCGAATCCATTGCACGGAGACTAGCAAACCTGTGCCTGGAACACCAACCTATACTCGTCGCTTCCGCCTCTACTGCCCACATTGCACCCGCACATTAACGCACCGCATGGGTCTATTAGGGCACATGCGCAATCAAGAAAACATGCGGTAGACAACTGCCGGCTATACCACACCGTCACATTTTCTCCTGCCAGCACCCGCAGCTCCCAACACCATCACAAGCACTTAATTGCTACCTCCAAAGCAAGTGGGGAATGTGCCTCTCTGTTCCTTCTCCATACGACTGCATGTGTGGTCCGAGACTAAGGCTATCACTGTGCCCCAAGCGCCGTGGCATGGAAGGCCGCCGACTGACGCCCCAACTCAGTCCACGCAGTCTGCTCAGTGGCTTGTGTGGAGTGGCGGACTGGTGGACTGAGAGCCAGTCTCTCACGGCTCCTTAACGTGACCTCTGCCACTCTCACACACATGTGTATGTATATCTGTAGTAATGTGCGGCTTCAGTTGTGCTAGCCACCCTATTTGTTGGATAAAACCCTGGTCATTAGCTCTGTTGACCAGGGGGTGTGTTGGGGAGCGTCAAGGTGCGGGTCCGGCCGTACTGGCCATCGGCGCCCTTTCCCTCCTCCGGTTTTCTTGAGTATGTCTTGATACCGGGTCCAAGGGGAGGGAGAGGAGGAGAGTGCGGTAGATGCTGTGCATGTCTACATTCACTATAAACTAATTCACGCGCAAGTCACCGTGCTTGCTTCATCTTGCTGTGTATCACGCGGCAGTCGTCGAGCACGGCGATCGAACTGTCACGTTCAGATTTGCAACTTTTGGGATATTACATTGGCATAGCCACTAAGATCACCACTCAGGTGCAGTCCTGTTCTTACAAGTCTGCTGTTTGAGTGAGGCCCATTGCATATCCTGGCCCCGCATTAGGCAACGGTTGAGAACCAAACTGACTTAGAATACAGTTCGTTTGCGCTACTGCCCTTTGTCTCTGAATGTCAATTTTGCTTAAGTATCTGTTTGCCTCCCCTATGCTTCTTAACCACCTGTTTGCACCTGTTTTTTAAGTTTAACCGAAATCATGCTCGTTACTAATCTCGTTCTCACACTTGCGCTGACTGTCGATGTTCCTCTTCTTTTCCAGAATACTGAACTTTTTACCCTGACGTACGGATCGCTTGTCGCGCAGATAGTTAACGACTTCGAATCGGACGAGACTATAAATGAACAGCTGGAAACCATGCAAGTTTAATTCCTTCTCTTACCCTCTGTTTTAGTGGGTTTAATATGGGTGAAAAACTTGTTGAGGACTTTGTCGCCAAGGGAAACTCTGGTCGTTGCAATGACTTCAAGGAAACGGCCAATCAACTGGTCAAGGTACACTTTTTGGCTGCTAGTGCCTTTCACCTCCCCTACCCTCCAATTCAGGAGCACCTTCTGTTTGTGTGCTCGTCCAGCTGTGCCAGATGCGTAAACCGTTGCTGTTTAGATCTCTCCTGTTATCTAACTTTGAATACCGAGGAATGTAATTCTTCAAAAATTCTTTGACAAATCCTGCCTTCAACTCCTTCAAACCACTTCATCTATTCCACGTTTCATCCAGTAATGTTATCGTTCACTTTAGGTAGTTGCCCTACTACTGGCGTTTCTGTTAACCTTTATCTCGGCCAAATATCAGGACGGTGCCACTTATTTCGAGGACCTTTCCAGACTAGGATGTTTCTGGTGTATACTCTTACGAACTTCTTCCCTCTGCATTGATTGGTGCTGTCACGTATTACCTAACTAAAGGCATTCATTCACTATCGAACGGCTGTCCTGGCGAAGTCTCTTCTTGATATAGGGGACCAGGTCTCGTGAGGCGGAGGCGAAATATCGTCGGTCACTGCGCCCAAGCCCCGCCCCAGCAGTCCTGACTCTGTATTAGTACTTAACCACACCAGTAATTGGGAGAGAAATGTGCCATAATCTTGACCCACACAACTTAATCTTCATCTGCGTCCAGACGATATATTAGTTGTCTTATCGGGGACGAGGGTAATGCTCGTAGTTATAATCAATGACTGTAACGGCAAGTGCGTAGGTCCTACGCTAATTCACTTGCAATGCTTCCCACCGTATGCTAGAACACCTGGAGAGAAGAGTTTTGAAAAGTGGGCTGCAGGGAATATCCACGTACGTTCGCTGTTGATCTCTGCAAAATACCCTGTCCATGCATTTTCGTTACCTACTCATACAGTAGCTGTTGGCTTCTGCAGCCTTGATGCCGGCTGCATGCGGTCTAAGGACTTATGTCATCGCCTTCTTGTTTTCTTCTACCTGACGCTGCCTGTGAAAAAAGATCTCTCCATGGCTTATATCCTTTAGGAACTCCAAGGATGAGACCGCCGAGTGAGACAGGGAAAATGAATATTATTGGCTATGAACCGTCCGAAAAATACGCAACAAAGGACTTCTGAGGTTCTGGCATAACCACACTATTGAAAGCCACAATTTTCGCTGTTTCGGCCCTGTGGGTGGTTATGTTCCAGTTTTTTTGGGCAGTCATAGTCTATCGCGCGCGTGGTTGCGTCACTTTCGTCCTTCAAATAGATGTTGCAGGTATGGAAGGGATGATGTAGGATATACGGACCTTTCCACACTTTTGACGTACTTTGTTGTTTGTACTCTAAAGCTTCCTCTAGGTAACAAAGTTTGCTTCTTTTCCAAGGAACTGTTCATCGATATTAGGTTTTGACCCTGTGCGGCCCCACCTTTTGACCAACTGCGGGCTAATCGAAATGGGTTTTTCGTCCGAAAGTAGAATCCAATTAATTCTTACTGGTGAAAATTTTAATGAAAGTATTTGTTTCCCCGTTGATCGTGTACCTTTTGACTTCATCCGCACCTACTGCTTGTGACCTTTGCATGGTGGCGCCGACCGAGAACGAGGAATGAAATGTAGGGCAATAGCATGTGTCCGCCCATTCGAAGATAGGCGAGCTTCATATCACCGATTAAAAGAACCAGGAAGTAGTAGTAGGCAGTAAAATTACCTGCGACACCGCGAGAGCATGTGTTCACCAAATCATTTTTCCCAAATGCTTCCAGGCTGGAGTCTATTTTGTCTATCAATGTCAACTTGTCCACTCGCCGGCAACGATTGTTGTCTCTATCACCATTTCCATTTTCATAGGGCTTTAAATTGTTTTTGGGAATCACGCCAACAGTTACAAAATTTAGCGCCGCCGGAGACGAGTTCTCGCTTATTCTGGATTCAAACCCTCTGACCGAGTTTGTGGATCTTCCGGCTAACCACCCGGGCCTTCTGTACTGCAACGTTCTCCCGGGCGCTATTCGTGGTGCCCTGCACAATGTAAGTTAAACATTCCAAACCGTTGAGTCCATTATCTTAAAACCAGTCATCTTTGGCCGGACCAAAAGCCAGGTACTTCTCGATTCATTTTCCCTCTGCTTTCTTCAATTTATACGAAATCAACGGAATTTACCATTGGTAAGGTAGCAAACTGCAATTTTATTATATTACAGAAGAAGGGGCGGCCTGAAGTTTATCAGACAATGGAATGTCTTGAAATGGTGTTCGGTTCCATTGATACATGTAGGATACCTGCCAATGGCAGATTACACGAGTGTTCATACCACCACGATTGTCTTCAAGAGAGGAATTATTTACGGGCACTAACTTTCAAGGGAACTCGTCTTTGTACACAGCGACTCCGAGGGTTATTTTGTCCGTCCTTTCCTCGGAAAGCAGTTGCAGTTCTATAAGCATAGAACTGCGGTGGGAAGGTACACGTTACTGAGCGCTACGATATAAACTTCTAGTGTCGCTGAAAGAGTTCACGGCGGGAAGTAAACATGTAGTCTCTTATAAATTAATTAATTTGATGTTGTGTTCAGTACCTTTCGATAGTACCTCGATTATGTAGTTTTTTCTCGACAGTGTATTTGCTGTCAGTCGCTGTTTTCGGTGTTTCTTCGTGTACTGCATTTATTCACTCTCAGGAGACGCATTTTCACCCATTAGCCGCTCCTGAAGGTGTTAGAAGAGTACCCTTGTTGCTTCTTTCTTGTATCCGCTTCAGTATTTCCTGCCGTCCGTCTTATAGGTCCAGTTGGAGGTCACCGCTCGCATAGTACAGGATCAGCTGCGCGGTGACAAGGTCAACGAGATCCGTGTCAAGTTTGTTCGCCGCATAAAGGAAGTTTGCGTTGGCGAGGACTAGGACCCCCTTCTCCCACCTTCAGTCCTATTTTTCGTCATAGGCCCCATCTTATCATTTCCCCCTTTCCTCCTTGCTGTATCTTTTATTTCTGTGATATTTGAATAAATACCGAGAAAAAATGCCCTGTCGACTCCTTGGAGCTGTTTTTAGATGGTTTTGGAGATAAAGATCCCTGACTTTTTCCTATATTCACGCTTTGCAGTCTATGGCGGCCGCCTCGCCGTTCACTTCAACCAACGTCAAGGAAGCCTGGCTCATTAAAGGTCTCCGTTTACTCTACTCCCAGAAGCCCGAGGACGGCGTCCGTCTTCGTCGTTTCTACAAGGAGGCTTGTGATAACGAGGCACACGTACTGCGTACCACCCTTTCCGAGGCTCTCAGAGAATCCAGGGAGGACGGTTCAGAGGTGAGCTGTTTTTTCCTCTATCCCCACCACCCTTCACATCTTATGCTAATCTGTTGCCGGTCACACCCGTCACGCATTGCTGGGGTTGCGCGATCCGTATTTGAGCCGTCACATCCTCCCTAAGTGTTGTGGCTTGGAGGCTGCCAATCTCCGACGTGGCTCGGACCTCGAGAATACGGGGAACTGTCCGTCCAACACAATCGCTGTCCGGCAAGTCAAGAGTTCTCGGACTGCTGGAGGACTGTGGTCCACGCACCTAGGTTGAAATTGATGAGGATAAGTGGGGTCGAAAGGACAAACTTCATACCCAACAACAGTATCGCGGACCTCAAATTTCCAGTTTATGCGGCGCTCAATTTCGCTTAAGGAAAGTCCCTATAACGCAAAATCCGCCCACACTACTTTTGCCAAAGGTTTACAGCTGTGGAAAGGCGATCGTTCTTAAACAGAAGTCATAGTAGAGTTGAAAATTAATATTCAGTGACGGATAAATAATTAATTTTCACTGAATACTAGAATTTCAGAGAATGGCTGCGTTACAAATCGTCTAAATACGGCCAATCTGTAAGAGTGCATATGTAGGGGGACGCATGGAAATGGGAAATTAATGAAGATTATTAACAAGTACAAAAGGTCAGTTCTTTGTTGATTGTCCATTTCTATTTAATACACCAGAAAGTTTCTCAGGCATGGGGATATCCAGATTGTCTACAGTGGATTGTTGGATGTGATTGCCTACCGTATAATCAAGCTTTCTTGCACTGAAAGTTTATTCTTTGCCTTGCGCCAATGTCTTTTGATAAGTGCGAAAAGATTTTCAGTAGGATTGAGATCTGAGCTGTTGCCAGGGATAAGAATCGACCGGAGGCCAAATGCGGAGAGGCTGGCTCAATCATGGCCTTTTTCTAGTGAAGTTCTAAGCTCTGCATCCTCTTCCTAATCATGTATAGAGAACATTGGCAGGTGTTCCCTTTATGTGGTCTTAATGTGCATATAATGATACTTCTTAGTGCACGACGAATAAAATCGTCGTCTTGATTACTTGTGGACCGTTTTTGTCTGCCCTTCTTATTTCTGGGTACGGTTCGCTACACAGTAACCTAACCAATATTGAAAATATTTTCTAACGACTCACGCGGCAACCCTTCTGCTGCTTATTTTCGTATCTTTTTTGTTGTTGACGGCTGATGCAAATTGTCTAAACATCTTTATCGCACGGCGTGACACAGAGAAGTGATTGCATGATACGGGTGATCAATGTATATGTATTTGTTTACGCCTAGTAATTCTTGGTGTGGTAAAACAAATTACCGCCAAACAGGTTTTTTGAAGAGTTTTGCGGCACGAAACCTCACAAATTAACAAGACAGAATTTTATAAGCCGAAACCATCCAATTTTTATTTAAAATCGTGGAATTTCTCATACCTGTCCTTACCTGGTTTTCATAGAATATGAATTACCTGATTTTCTTGGAAACAAAATCGAATTTCCCGTTTCCAGAAGGGATTTTTGAACTTTTCCTGTCTATATTAATCTTCGTCTACTCCACAATTCACATAAGCTGGAGATTTTGATCTCTGAATTTCAATAGCATAGGAAATTACCTAGTGCCTGGAGACTGAAAGTCCCATCTGAAGGTGTATCGTAAAATTTCGTGAAATTTATACTATTCGCTGATTTTTCGGATAGCGCTCCGCGTTTACAACTGGACGTCCACGTATTTCCGCGCCCTCGAGTCTGGGATCTGCATCGTCATCGCCTCTGACCGAGGTTTCACTCCATTCTGCTGCTGTTGTTGGGGGTTGTGGTGGTCTTCCACCTGCCTCAGCAAGCTCATCCGATCACAGCGATAGCGGCTCCAACTCAGGTCCAGTCTCTTCAGCGCCTCCACCTGCCAAGCGTCACAAGGTGGGATTTTTTAACATATTTGATCCTCCTTCATCCTCAACGGTCGAAGTTACTGGTGGCGCTGCCAACGCCAAATACCGTTCATCCTCGTCCAACACACCTCCTGCCCCAGGTGAGTAATCTTCCCCTTCCCTCGATCTTTCACTTGCCCCTCGTTTCGCGCCCAAAAATTCCTCAGTTGATAAGTGACCTAGTCAACTAAACAAGATGGCCCTGCCACCGGCACTCTTGTGAAATCTATGTGCCTTGCTGCAGTGATGTAAAAAAACATCCAGATTCGAAGCATTTTAGTCAAAAACAACTGCAGCGAGCGGGATTGTATTCTCACAAGGAGTGCAATGCTACGACAGGATTTGTTACCACAATTTCAAAAATTCGACCGCTTAATATTGCGAGGATTATCCCACCTCTCGGAGGTGGTTGATCTTCCCCGCTTGGCTCTGTTAGATTCTCCATGTCCCCGTATTACGGACAAGTGCTATCAGGACGTCTGCGTTGCACATCCTCATTTTGGTTTTGAGGAGGTTGCCATGGCAACTCTATCTGCCGATCACCTGACTTGTCTGAGCTGAACTTCTCCGTCGATTATACCACTTCTCGGTGTTTTGCTTCCTTAGCGGGAGTACTAGTTTGTAACGGTGAGACGATCGTAAGTGACCTGTGGTTAAGGGTTCACCATATTCTGCGTTTGGTGGCGGCCGATTCATATCCACCAGTTTCTTCTTTAGGGTATAGCGGAGGACCTCGGCAATTAGAGTATGCATAGTAACTTACAGTGCGTGACCGAGCTCATGAAATGTTGGCCAAAATTCTGGAATGCGTTTACGATTAGAAAGGATTACTTAAGTGGGGTTGTAATACTGATTATCATGCAGCATAACCCTATAACATTTCAGACTCGCCAGGATGTCGGCTTTTGAATGCACTTCATTTTGACCTCCTGTAGAAACCACACGGTAAAGAATGACTACTTAAGTAGCATGCATTTTTCCTCTTGCTTTTCGATGGTCTTATAAATTCAAATACATTTTATAGAAAACATGTAAAAATATGCTTTCTTTTGCTCATTTGGTAGGAAATCACATTGTCTTCATATTTTATGCCCGGAGAAAGTGTATATTTAGGTTTTAAAAGAGTTTCTAATTTTGAGATTTTTCGGACCATGCGATGTCCATGCAGGCAAGACCGCACAGGTCCGTTTACCAATGCTCCTCATGAAATGTACAACACGGTCCCGATCCATTGCAAAATTTCATGAACTCTATGTGGTATCTTCTTAAAGACATAGAGAAATATATGATTTCCCTTACGCGGAAAGCGTGCACCTTGTAGACTGAAATTGCTAAACGCTGATGCAATGGCAGATCAGGCTGAAAATTATTCGGGAGTTGGAAAACATTTTAAAAATCTAAATACACACTTTCTTCGGGCATAAAATATGAAGACAATATGACTTCCTATCAAATGAGCATAATAAAGCATATTTTGGTGCATGTTTTCTATAAAATACGTTCGAATCTATAAGACCATCGAAGATCAATAGGAAAAATGCATGCTTCTTAAGTAGTCATTTTTTCCGAGCGTGGTTTCTTTAGGAGGTCGAAAAGAAGTGCATTCAAAAGTAGACATCCTGATGAGCATGAAATGTTATAGGGTTATGCTGCATGATAATCAGTATTACAAACCCACTTAAGTAATCTTTTCTAATCAGAAACGCATTCCAGAATTTTATCCAACATTTCATGAGATCGGTCACGCGCTGTAGCTACGGACTACCCCGAGCGTTCGCAAGTGGCCAGTATTAATGCACCCTTAGTTAAGGATTCTCAGCGAAAGAAGAATGTGCCGAGTTCTGGCGAATAAATAGTTGACTGTGGAGAATGTGGCATATGTGGGCATAGATGTGGAGAAAAGGTTATCTACTTAACGGTCGCGAGCTATAGCAGTATTGCATGAGGAATGTTGCCTTCCTCTCACTTAGCCGTCCCTGTCGCTGTACACAGTTCCGGAACCTTAAAGTTGTCTTTTGGAGGGGTGGGTGGACGTCCAGGAACTGTCCGTCCAGAAAATCGCCCCAACAAACCACTGCCTAGTGAGTGACGGATTTTCAAGTGACATGAGAGCTATGCCCTGCGCCATTGGGCTGGCTTTGATAACAGTTTTTGTCGTTCGTAGATACTGTTTCCTGTGAAACGGTTGCGGGCTCTATGATGCTATGTTCTCTGAGGAGGCGCGATCGCGCCTCTTCCTAAATGGTTTCTGGAACTCGCTTTTCCGCTTTTCTTGCTTCAACTCTGTTCAGCTACTTAGTAGGCTTCCTGCAAAGCAGCTCCTGGATTTAAATGTCGGTGTCTGTGTTGCGTACCTTGTTTGCATTTGCAGGATTGGATAGTTGCCGAGATCCTTTGCGGTTTTCGGTTTGCTATTGCTATTAGGTGCGAAGGCAGCCGAACTAGACCTAAAATGCACTTCATCTAGTTTTGTACGAAGATTTTTACATTGCCATGGTTGATGTCCATTTCTCTTCTACTTCTTGTCTTTGGGCTGCATTGGATCGCCTTTTTGTCAGAGCTTCAAGCAATGGACGAAATGGATCATCGGATCAGTCATATGCTTTTTGCCTCCACCAACTGCATGGAAATTTTTGTATGCGTCATGCGATTCGTCGGAAAAACCGAGAGTATGCTTCAATCCCATTATGATAATCTTTATGCTATTGTAAGACATGGCGTCTGAACACACCGGTTGTTCTTCTCTTACGAGTATTCTGTTGGGGGTACTTGTAACCCATTCTACGTATCCATCCTTTCGCTCGGATCTAAAATGAACGGCTCTACCGACCAACAGAAACAATCAGTCAACTAAACCCTCCTCAATTTGTACCATGTCATCATAAAGAAAAATCGGTCTGGATGCTACCTCACCCGAACCCGACCTTAGATGCTAATGGCCTCGTGTTCTTCACAAACGCTGAGGAATCTGACTTCCAGCGCACCCCTGGTTTCATGTGGATGGCGTGCCATCTTGATCGACTTCTCTGGGAAACATGTTGTGGACAAACTGCTGTGGGAGTCGATCATTCATGAGGTCATGACATTGCAACATTAAGATGACTTCCTTACTACGGATAAATGCCTTTACGGGTTCAGTTAAGAGTTAGTCCGTAGACACTGAAGGTCCCAGACATTCGTCATTCGGCCTCTACTGACTATATCTGTTTACTAAACTAAGTCGCCCTCAAAAGGGCCATGATGTTACAAATGAGGAAAACCGCATTTGGCAAACTATAATGTTCTCCTTTAGGAGCTCCATGCATCTTGATAGAAACGAGTAAGCGAAGGCTTTTTACCACGGTTTTCTGATGTAACGATTTGCAGTAGATATGCTATCTCATAATATGTTACCTGGGACCATAAATCATTCTTTCAATTCGAAAAGATTACTTAAGTATGATTGTCATGTTTATTATTCTGTCGCATAATTTAAAGATATTACAGTCACGTCAGGATGCTGGCTTTGGATTGAACTTCTTATCGACAGCCTGTATAAACTACATTCCGTAAATTGTTCGCATTGATTTTCGATACCTTAAAATACTCAAATATGCTTTGTAAAAAATGCACAATAATATCCTTTTGGTGGCAGATTACGTCTTCTTCAAATTTGATACTTGTAGAAAGGGTCTCTTTTGGTTTAAAAAAATTCTAATTATAAGATTTTTCATAACCGTGAAATATCCAATCACACAGCATTACAGCAGCACACTTATCGTTTGTGCATTGTCCACATCCATGACATGTTTTGAGCCCTATACGATCTCTTGTTAATAGCATATAGAAGTCTATGCTTTCCCTTACACGAAACGTGTGCAGTTTGTAGTCTGGAAACCCTTAATGTTATTGTAACGGCATTTAGCGTTCAGAATTATAGGGGAATTAAGGAACTTTCTTAAAACCAGAAGATGCTCTCTCTGTTAATACGGCAATTGAAGACGCAATTTGCCAATAAATGAGTAAAAGGAAGAATATTTTTGTGCATGTTTTCTATAAAATATATGTGCGTTTATAAGGTCATCGAAAGTCAATGGGAAACATTCACGCTATTTATATAGTCGTTTTTTGCGGAATGTTGTTTACACAGGCGGTCGGTAAGGAGCTCTTTCAAAAGCGGGCATTCTGAAGTGACTTGAAAATTGCAGCATTATGTCACAAGATAATTAGTATGACAGCCCTACTTAGCTAATTTTTTCGAATCTCAGTTCATATTTCGTGAGATAGCATATCTGCTGTACATTGCCTCCTAATCACAAAGACAATAGAACAAGATGTGGGCCTTCGTTAGTTAGTTTGCCAACTTGTTTGTCCTACTTGTACGTTTACTCTTTTCTACTACTCAGCTGTTGATTTCGTTTTCGTCCAAAAAGTGACAATCGCTGCACCCGTGGTTGTTTGTCAATCACAGTCAATAAACAAGGATTCCGTTTCCCTGGTCGCCACGACTGAAGTGATCTCTCTACAAGAGGCGCCCACGGAAAGTCAGCACATAGCCTCCGCAGCAACCGGTGCGACTTCTGCTGTGCCTACTAGCAGTAACAGGGATGACCCCGTCAGCGATGGTGCCGACGTCATGGCTGACATCGTGGCTGATCTCGCCTGTCGTGTCTGCGGTCGCCTTATTACCAATCATCCGGACCCTAGTGGCGGTTACAGCGGCAACGGCGGGGGCACCAATGCGATGATCGAGTGCTCCCTTTGCCATGGGCTCTACCACCAGCTCTGCCACACTCCGCCTGTTCTTGGCCGTTTGCCCGCGACCAACCTGAGTGCCTGGACCTGCTCAACCTGTTCCTCTTTAACTCATCAACCCGAACTGACACCATCCGTCTCCGAGTCTCCTGTGGTAACAGCTCCGTTGTTACCTAATCCTATCGCCCCAAATTCTTCCGTTTCCCGCCGAAAACGGCAATCTTCCGCTGTAGTCCCGTCCCCCAGACAACAGCGGAATTAATGATAGTTTTGCCGTTCGGTTTTTGTTCAGTCAACCAGCTGACGTAAAAATTCTCTTTTATGCACCATTCTTTTTGGGAAGGGGAGTGATTTCTGTTTTTTGTGACTATACTCCCCGTACAGCCTCTCTCCGGTGCGTCAGAACCACGCAGCACCATATTCTATTCGTCGAAACCAACTATGTTCGTCGGTGCGTAAAGAAGCGGAAGTAGCACCGGTTATGCTAAGAAGTATAGACCCACGCCTTGTCAGTTGCGATTGGAAATATTCAGTCACCCGATAATACCATTTGCCGATCGGTCCTGATTACGAGAGCGAAATACGAATTTTCGTCGTCCTTTTGAGCTCCGAGTCAAGAGCCTTTGAAGCCGGTGGCAAAGTAGCGAGTGATGATAGACGTGTTGGTGGTCGATGAGGTCGGCTGAGGCGTCGGGCGTCAGAATTCTGACCACATTGACAGGTGTATTGGGAGTTAGTCCATGGGTGACGATGGGGACATTTGCGAAGGCAGCAGATTGAGTTGTGGGATTGCTGTTGCACTGGGTCCGGAGATATTCGACCAGACCGATCCGTGCACGGAATGCCCGTGGACAACGTGGACATATTGGGGGTTGGTCATTGATGTTATAGGTCGGAGGCGCTTGAATCCTGAGCCGCTTTTACGGCTTTGGCAGCGGCGATCGGTTTGGTTTCATATATTGCAACCTCAGTCTTCACTGCAGTTTTGCAGGTCGGCCGATCCTGGCCGAGACCTTTCCAGGTGGAAAAAATCGATTATGTTGACCATTGACGCAAGTCAGCATGGCGTCTTTTTAGCTCTGCTGTTGTCTGCCTTGTTGGTGAGCACCCATAACGACGTCTCCTCGGGTGAATCACTCTGACAATAGTTCGCCCATCCTCACGAGGTGGTCCCTTCATCCCAGTTGTATTTGCCCCAGAAAGGCGGTGAATCCAAGGATTCTGGTCTGTTCAAGTACTCCTGTGTCCGGAATCCTGTCTTGTCACCTCATCTTCAATATTTTGCGGCGGCAGCTGAGGCAACTGAGGTTGAGGTTCTGCGCTCGTTGATCGTACGCTGTTCCGTTCTCCGCTACATATAGTAGTTTTGCCATAATGATTTATTCGTACATCCAGAAATGTACTGGAATGCAGACGGTGGACATTCCTCACCGAGATCTGTCTGGTTTTGGAGGCCCGGTGGGTCACTTCGTGGTCGATTTTGATGCTGCATGAATGTGCTGCCTAAGTGGGCGAATCTATCCACGGTACCCTGACAGTGATGCGGCGTCGGCATACTAAGTGGTAGGTAGTGGCTGATTCATGACCACAACTTTGTCCGCATTTATGGTCAACATGAAGTGTGAACATTCGTTCGCGAAGAGCAAGCTGCGGATAGCAGTCGTGGGAAACGCGTTTGGGCCCGCATGCATTGGGCGTTGAGGGGCTAGCCGTATGTCCCGTAAACGACGCTAACCCCTTGGCGTTCATCACGAGAGGTGTCCATCAAAATGACCGGGGGACATGAGACTGAAGAGGGTGGGAGCGAGTGCGCAGTCCTGTCTCACCCCACCGTGAGTACTGTTAAGATCGTCAATCGCAATTCACTGCGCCGAGCGCTATAGTCAGGTCCACGAATCAAGTGTGGAGTTTGGCGTATACTTCCGGGTACATCTGCAGTGGGCTGATCACGAAGGTCAAGTCAGTGGTTCCGCGATGTCGTCGGATGTCACTGGCTTCTCGGGAGAACTCTGTGTTCCTGATTATCGCTGGGACGATCAAGAAAGATACGATCGAATATCGTCCCGGCAGTGTTGAATATCAGGAGGTTGTGGTTAGCCAAGGTTCGCAGGGGAAGGAGACCATTGTCGTTGCATCCGGCGGTTTCGCGAGGACTCAGCACCCCCTCCAGACAGGGCAGTCCATCCCGACAGGGCATTGAAGTCACCAAGGGCAACCAGCCTGTCCGCCTCCGTCACAGACGCCAGGAGGGTGTGCAGGTCTTCTTAGAACTTGGTCTTTTCCTCGTCTGAGCCGGTCGTTGTTAGGGCGTAGGCGCTGATGGTGACGAAGTTGGATCCCCAAAGAGGCAGACGCAGGCTCATTTGTTGATCGTTGATGCCCTGCGGCAGACAGGGCAGTCGTCCCATGAAGTCGTTCCGGATGGTAAAGGCGACACCCGCGTCACGTCGCTCTGAGTTATGACGATCTCTCCAGCAGAAGGTGTAGCCAACACCCACCTCCTCCAGTTAACCTTGTTCAGAGAACCGGGTCTCGGTGAGTGCAGCGATGTCCAAATTGTAGCGTGCCAGTTCCCGAGTAACTAACGCCACACTTAATTCTGACCGGTTGCTCCTGGGATTATCTAAAACGGAACGAACATTCCAGGCTGCCGGAGTGTACAGACTCACCCTAGCTGCATGTGAGATCGGGCAGCGGGGAGGAGGAGGGGGAAGAGAGTATTTCGTCTTGTGTTTCGATTTCGACCACATGCTTAGCAGTCTGCGAGCCACGGTCTGCGCGCAGATGTCGTGAATTCACCTCTGTTTAGGGCACCGTTTACAGCTCTTCCTCGAGGGGGAAAGCAGTGCTCTCCCGAAATCGGGCTGTTTTTTCACACCAGACGGATACCGCTCTCTACTGTGAGTCATGGGTTTTATGCGAGAACGATCAATGTCCTGGACCACCTGCGTAGTTGCACGTCGTTCCTTCCGTAGGGAAGAAAAGAGGAGTGGAGAGGGAGGATAGTGTGGGGAACGGAGGAGACGGGCGCAGGAAAAGTGCGGCCATAACGTACGAAGAGCAGAATTATCGCGTGCGGAGTTGCATACGCCGATACCCTCACCAGGTTTTGGCCGGCGGTCGTAGCGGCTACCGAGGTGTGACCGCTAGACAGGGCCACATTGAGAGTTGGATGCCACTTAACGGAAGTTAGGCCTATTTAACACCTGCAAGCAGCCAAGCGACCTTCCTTGACCTTCACGTTGACCCTCACTGGACGCACGTTTACCATACGGGATGCAATTGCTGATGATCTGTCGGTCTCTCCGTCGCCCACCGTGAACCTCCTAGAGATCGGTCCACACGCTCTGGCCGCCACGCGACGGATGATCACGTCCTCGGGCTACGAGGTGTCGGTGGCCTTCCAAATCATTCTCCAATGTAAACATTTGTGATGTTGGTCTTCGGACAGCACTGCCATTTCGTAAATATTCCCCATCCCTCCACCGCCACGTCCGCATTTTGTTTGTCGATCTGTTGTTCTGGCCAGATGCGCGCTATGACGTGAGTGCTATTCACAAGCACAGCAGTTCGATTATAGGGTAGCAGACACTCACTAAAGCTACCTCACACACTATTTTCCACGCCCATTTTTCTACAGTGACAAGTCAAAGTCAAGGCAATCGGAAATGGGCGTGAACAATGACTGATGAAGCTAACTGGCCCTCCAAACCTCTTGTTCGCAATCCAATTCCAAAAATGCTCAAGAACCGGCTTCAAAGAAAGAGGAACTTTTCGGATCTCAAGGGTGTGAATGCACCTGCCACTCACACGGTTGTCAGCGCTACCGCTTACTTGTGTCGCCTTCGGTTCGCCTAACGCGTGACTCAGCCTCCTGTTTGCGATGCCGTGACGCCAATCCATATTACTTCACCGACTGGGCCCAGACCGACGAAGTTAGAGCGTATGAATTTAGGCTGACACTCGCCTGGTAGGAAAGCTAGCTGCAGTTGCCTGTGCGCTCTGTCTCAGTAAGGACTTGCTCATCGGACAGTTTCCCTACCTTCTGATTTGGGGAACTTTAGGCTGTTGATCACCCTACACTGGCAAGTGGTGACTCCCTCTTACATCACACTTTGTCCTTCCCAATCTGCGACATAGTCGAGCGTTGACAATGGACAAATTTCCACCAACATATTTTGCCACCCGCTTCTGGCGTACTTTCAGCCGCCCGACTCATCCAGATATCTGACTGCCTGATGGTGATGAATGGCTTTGTAAAGCCCTCTTTTACCAAAATTCCAAATTTCTCAGTTTCACGTGCGTCTCCTCCCTCAACCTTAAGGTCACAGGCGGCGAGTCGCGCGCATGAGTTAACCACTCTTTGACAGCAGGAAACCACCCTTTCATCCAGAGCGCATTGAGGCCATCCCTTCAGCAAGTCCGACGCACGTTTTCATCTCGAGCCAGCACACTGGTATCGTACAGTTTGTGACAAAGCCCGTCGCTGCAACCCGCTTTGATGCGTCGAGCTCTGATTCAACTTTTTCATGGACCCTCGTGCATTAGGATCCGAGCCTCACAAAAGCTCCTCGCGGAAAGACCCGTCTGGCCTGGCCTGAACAAGGATGTCGAAGCTTAACCACGTCCGTGTCTCAGTTGATATCGCCACGGCAAGTCCCCCTGGCACCTTTCCCAGCCTAGACGCGCGGTTCAGGCATGCTCATCTGAATGTCGTAGGCTCCTTGCCTCCATCCAATGGGCACATGGCCTACCCGCGTCTATCGCTACACGCGCTGGGCTAAAGCCATCTCTCTGCCGAACGTGGGGGCGGACACCACCACCAGGACTTTCGTCAGTCGTTCGGCCGCCGTTTTCGGTGCCTCATCCGCTGTTACAACTGGCCGGGTGGCCAGTTTGAGTCTGCTCTCTTCCAAGCCCTTCTCTACCTTATTGGCTGCACGCGCACTCGGACAGCAGCTTTCCACCCAGCATCCAACGGCGTGACGGGCGTTCCTACCGCCAGTTAAAGACGGCCCTGCGCTCCGCAGATGGTGCAACGAACAAGGCTGACAACCCCCCTTTTACTTCTTTGCATTGTCGAGGTACTGGAGTCACATTTGGTTTGCAGCGCAGCCGATTTGGTGCCCGGCACTACACTCTGACCACCAACCGACATGATCACCGCAACCTCTCGCGGTGCCAAGGAGTCCTGATGATTTTGTGCATCTGCGACAGCTTATGCGCTTGCTCCCCCCGCCCCCTGCCGCGAACTCTACTAAC